TCTCAATTGGCCCTGTACAGGCAGTCCTCAACTTACAGCCATTCATTTAGTGACCGTTTGAAGTTACAACGGCACTGAAACATGCTACTTATGATCGTTTTTCACAGTTACGACCTTTGCAGCATCCCCAAGGTCATGTGATCAAAATTCAGATGCTTGGCAACTGACTCATATTTATGACCGTCACTGTGCCAGGGTCGTGTGATCCTCCTTTTTCTTGACTTCAGTGTGCTTGATGTTGTCAGCTTGAAGGATACCCAAGTATTTGTAGTAATCTTCCTCATTCAGACTCTTAATGTTATTTTCGTGGGGCATCTTGATTCCTTCAGTTTTCACTACTTTTCCTTGTTTGTTGTTGTTGTTGTTGTTGTTGTTATTGTTATTATTATTATTATTAAATATGAGCCAGCAGTGTGCTGCAGTTGCCAAAAAAGCCAACACAGTGCTGGGCTGCATTAATAGGGATAGAATCAAGATCACGTGAAGTATTAATACCACTTTACAACACCCTGGTATTGCCACACTTGGAATATTGCATCCAGTTTTGGTCACCACGATGTAAAAAAGATGTTGAGACTCTAGAAAGAGTACAGAGGAGAGCAACAAAGATAATTAGAGGACTGGAGGCTAAAACTTACAAGGAACGGTTGCTGGAATTGGGTATGTCTAGTTTAATGAAGAGAAGGATGAGGGGGGACATGATAGCAGTGTTCCAATATCTTAGGGGCTGCCACAAAGAAGAGGGAGTCCAGCTATTCTCCAAAGCGCCTGAAGGCAGGACAAGAAGCAACGGATGGAAACTAATCAAGGAGAGAAGCAACCTTCAAATGGAAAATTGTATAAGAATAATTATGAACCATTATGGGGAAAAGTACAAAAGGACTTAAAAGACTGGAAAAAACTGCAATTGTCATTGTTGGGGAGAATTTCAACTGTAAAAATGAATGTTCTACCAAAGTTCCTTTTTTTGTTTCAGATGATACCTATTTTAAAAAAAGAGGCAAATTTGGATGAATGGCAAAGGGGTATCAACAATTTTTTATGGGCCGGAAAGAAACCAAGGGTTAAGTTTAAGATTTTACAGGATGCTCGAGAAAGAGGAGGACTTAAGGCACCCAACTTGAAATTATATTATGATGCAGCAGCTTTAACTTGGTTAAGTGATTGGCTCAACTTAACAAATAAGGATATTCTGTTTTTGGAAGGTTGGGACTTAATATATGGTTGGCATGCATATCTGATTTTCAATAAGAAAGTTGATCGGATTTTTAAATTACATATTTTGAGGAATGCCTTACTTCGTGTTTGGAAAAAGTATTATTACAGATTGAATTATAAAATACCTATCTGGGGGATTCCCAGACATGCAATTGAGGGAATTTCTAAGGGGACAAATTTTGATAAAATCTCGTATAAAGAATTGTTAATTTGGTCTGGTTCGAATTGGCATTTGAAATCCCTAGATGTATTAAGGCAAGAAAATACTCTACAGTCATGGTTTCAATACTTACAAATAGTGGATAGATGGACTGTAGATAAGAAAGAGGGAATAACATTAGAAGATAAACAATTGGTTATTCAGATTAAAAATCAGAGTCAGGCCCATATAAAAAGAATTTACAATGTTTTATTAGAGTTAGACTCGGAAACAGAATTGGTTAAAGACTGTATGATTAAATGGGCTCAAAATATACAGGAACTGATTTCATTCATGGATTTATGGGAGACAATTTGGACTAGAAATGTTAAATTTACACAAGCTCAAAATTTGAGAGAAAATTTTTATAAAATGTTTTACAGATGGCATTTAGATCCTAAAAAATTATCTTGTATGTATCCTAACATACAGCCCAAATGTTGGAGATGTGGCAATAAAGATGCGACATATTTTCATATTTGGTGGAATTGTAAAAAGGTAAAGGCATTTTGGATTATGATTTGGTGGAACATTCAAAAGATTTTTAGAAGGAAGATAAAGTTTACTCCTCAACTATTTTTATTGGGTATCTTTGTGGATTTAAATGATAAAGAAACTATTTTGATGTTGAATTTATTAACTGCCGCAAGGTTATTAATAGGTTTATATTGGAAGAAAGATTCTTTGCCTACTTTAGAAGAATGGGTATTTAAAGTATCTAGTTTTGCAGAGATGGCAAAAATTTCTGCCTATTTAAAGGATCATACACAAGAAAGATATATCACTGTATGGAGAAGATGGATAGATTATATTCAGAAAAAGTATGGAACTAAAAAGTTTCACTTATTTTATGAATGAATATTATAGTAAATATTACAGAGAATTGTTTTATAGGCTATTGGAGTTAAAGGTTAAGTATGATATTTTTTTTCCTTTTTTATTATTATTATTATTTATTTTTTTATTTTTTTTTCTTCTTTTCTTTTTCTTTTCTTTTTTCTTATTATTATAAATCCTTTTAATTATTAACCCTGTATTCTGCTCTGGGAAGTGAAGGGAGGGGGGTTGGGGGTGGGAGGGAGGAAATGTGTGGGGGGGTAAGTGTAATATAGATAATGGTTGCTTATAGGGGTGCGGCCTGGGCACTCCCCTTATGCTGCGTTCATGGGTTTGATAGGGATGAAAGGTGGGCAAGTGTAGAGAGGAAGTAGGGTAGGGAGAGGAGAAGGGGAGGGGAAGAGAGTAGGATGGGAGGTGAGAAAGAGGAGGGAAGTAGGGAATGTTTTAAGAGAGGGTGGACGTGGCCTGGGGGGAGTGCGCAGGTCATAATAATGTTTATTTTATCTTAAAATTGTATTGTATACTTTTTTTTATAATGTTTATATAGAAAAAATAAAAAACTTTCATAAAAAAAAAGAAGCAACCTAGAACTAAGGAGAAACTTCCTGACAGTTAGAATAATTAACCAATTGGAACAACCTGCCTCCAGAAGCAGTGAATGCTCCAACACTGGAAGTTTTAAAGAAGAGACTGGATAGCCATTTGTCTGAAATGGTGTAGGGTTCTTGCCTGAGCAGGGGGTTGGACTCGATGACCTCCAAGGTCCCTTCCAACTTTATTATTATTATTATAAAATTTTTATCCATATAAAAATCCTCAGCTACAGTTATTTGTTTATAAACAAAATAGCATTGTAAAACAGTTATGTAAAGTTTCAGGTAAATCTTTAATTGGAACATAATCATTTATCCAGGGCATCCAACTGTTGAAGATCCATATTTAATAGTACTGCTTTTCAGCAGCTCTGGCTACTGACTTAAGGACAAAGTAAAGCTTCAATACAGAATTAAGGATTTACTCAGTGCTAGTTTTTACTATCACTCTGCCTGCTTTTTATCTAAGAAAGTCCTAATGTGAGGTCACTTTCTTTTGCCTTTGTCCTCAGATAAACAAGCAGAGTCTATGCTATTTGACTGGTTGTTTTTAGAGCATTTGTTTTTGGTAGAACATTTCAGTGAAATTGAATAGGCATTTCCTATAATAAATGCCCTTTCTATAATAAAACCTTTTACTGATCATTGCTCAGATTAGATTCTAGTTTTCAGGAGCTCTTGCACGTACACATAGAACACTTTAACCTCCAGCTTTAACAGTTTCCAGGATTAACTATCAAAATTATGTAATACCCTACGGCAGTATCAAAAACCTCTAGTTCAGTTGTGAAAATTGAAGGTTTGGGTTTGATAAAAATCACTAGCCCTCTGGCAGCTTTCAAATTTCTATTTTTGTGAATCTGCCAAAATCCTGCAAGCTAAAGGATATTTTTCCATCAGGGAAAATGAGTTTCTTGTAAAGTAATACTGAAGCATAAACAGTTTCAATTTATCAAAAATCTGTCTCCGCTTAGTTAAGCCTTTGTAGCCTTTAATATCCCATACAATGAAAGTTGATGTCATTTATTTTTTTAAAAAAATATGTAATTTTTCAGAGTGAAGCTCAGGCTAGCTCCTGTGTCCTGGAACAAGATTGCAGACGCTCAAAAAATGTGAGACTTTGTCTTAATCAACCTAATGTTCATTTTTTTTTTAAAAAAAGAACTTCTGTCAATAGATACAATATGAAAAGCATATAGCAATATAGAAAAAAGGAAATTCTATGATAACAACCATAGCATAAGTACAGAGAAGCCAGAACATTTATTCTGATGATAAAATGAGTTGCCAAAGCTACCACATTCTATGAGGCACCTTGTAATCTACCTAATTTAAAACTGCTTCCAAAGTTTATTTTTCTACAAAAATTCAGGCTAAGTATGGCAAGCGTGGAAAAGAAAAAAGAGAATTGTGGGCCAAATTTACAGTGAAATCATTCCACGTAGGTCGTATATTGTTATAGACTGCAATGGGCCTTTATATGATAGAATTCTGCTTCATAAGCATCCCTTTCACACAGAAATCTATCCATTAAGATGTAGGATTTTAGCCCAGTTACATTCCTAGCATGCTAGTTTATTTTGTAATCATCAGTCTGAAACCACAAAATCTATCAAAGTCTACTCAGGCCTACCATAGGTTTCGATTGCATCAGAATAAAATATTTTGATAGCTCACTCTTGGCTTGAATAAATGAAGGAATCCTAAGAGATGCAATGTTATAATTAACAAGATCCCAGTGGCCTAAGGCATTATATGGGAAGTATCCATAGAAATATTCATTGGCATTTAGCTATGTGTTTTTCCACCTTGGAACCCATGGGGCGTGCAGAATAGGAAGGGAATACTCTTTGTAATGTAGAAAATGCAGCTGTTATGCCACTATTATGTGCCATCCATCTTTCTCTTCTCTCCTTGTTATATAGTATTTTCTAAAGCAAAGAGGTAATAGCACTATATTAGACAATAGAACAGGCGTGTCAAACTGCCGGCCCGCGGGCTGATTTCATCATACCGGAGCCGTGCCCACCCCATTGCCGGCAATGGCAAAAAAGCTCTGATACGTCGCGTGACGTCACGTGACATCGCGAGTTTGACATGTCTGCAATAGAACTTCTAATTGAAAGGAACAGTTACAAGTACAGGTGTTGATTATCCCCATGTTTGCAGTACTCCTTCAGCAACTGAATTTTACTTCTCTTGCTGGAATCTGGTGGCTGCCTGCAGGCTTTGGATTGCCTGAAACCTTACTCCATGAAAAAAAGGTTTGCAAATGTCCTGGACTTTTCCACATTGAGATCTCTGGGTTCTTTTGCTTCTTGTGATATGAATAAATAGATACACTATTATGTGAAATTTGTGACATGTTTAATGTGCCTGGCTTAACTTTATGGCAAACTACTGGTTTATAGGCTTGATCTGCTCTCCTGCCTTTCATATATTCATATATTCCATCAGAGAGGTAGAATAATTCAACCAGTTTGATGCTCTAATATGGGAAGTGTCTTTATTGAGAGACCATAGAATAGCTATAGTTGTATAGGCTACATAAATATGATTTCTAAATAAAGTGTAAATAATGAATAAACAAACAGTAGATTAACCCAGCATAGATCAAATGTAACAGAGAAATCAAGCTGTCTCCAAAAGAAGGGAAAGGACTCAGTTAGGTAGAAAATATTCAGGTTTATTTATTATTAAACGTATTTACTTTCACATCTTTTCCATCCAGGTGACACATCAGGGTCGAAAGTTACATTTAGAAAACATCTTGGATAGTTTAATGAGAGGTCCAATATTGTGGATGTAATTTGTGGAAAGAAGATTCGAAGAAACGTATTCTCAGATTGAGCAGGAATGAGTGAAGTAAGCTCATTTTCTGTTTGATCTGTATCAGTGCACAGAGCCATCATGCCTTTCCTTTTTCAGCATCCCCCCCTCCCTCTTCTTAAAAGTCTCCCAGGGCTTTGTTTCTAAATGTAAATGTTAAATCAGAAGTAAATTCCTCCAGGAGGCAAGAATGTTGTAGTTTGGAGGACTCGAGTAACACAAGACTTCAGTGATATCACTGACATGTGTAAGGCAGGGTAGTACACAAAAAGAAGGTCTCAGATCTCATGAAATTATTTAGTAATGTAATTAGATGTTAGCACAGTACATAACAACAAGAACAAATGCTTCTAAAGTATACTCCTGTAATGTGGGTTCCAATGTTTACAGAAACACAATCAGCTTTGAATTGCTTTCTTTAGGGCTTTTATGACTCCCGTTCCTTTCATCATATACCTCAAAGCAAAACATATAAAAATAACTTTGATGTCAGTTTTTAATGTATATTCTAGAGTGAAAAAAACCTTTGCTGATTCAAAAGCAGCCTCCTGCAGTCTTCAGAAAAAGATCTGAAGCCATTTTTCGAAGTACTAGCCAAATTCAAACTTGCTGTGTTTCGGCAAGGTGGATGCATGGTTTCAAAACCCTTTAGCTTACCTATTGAAACGAGGCAGGAGGGGATCCAGCGTATGTTAGGGCAGGGGTAGGCAACCTTGGCTCTTCTGGCTGGCTCAGGAATTCTGGGAGTTGAAGTCCACGAGTCATAAAAGAGCCAAGGTTGCCTACCCCTGTGTTAGGGCCTGTCTTCCTTCTTTCCTCTGTTTCTACCTTTTGTCACATTCAGCCTGATACCTTTCTGAGTGAACTGAACTGCTGCATATCTCTGTATCTTTTTTATTCTTTTTCCATAGTTGTGTAATGGCAAAACAGAACTATACAGACTCTTCAGAGTTCATACTTATGGATTTCTCTGTCCAGCCAGAGCATCAACACCTTCTGGGCTTGATCTTCCTATCCATGTATCTCCTGACAGTCTTAGGAAATTTACTGATTGTTCTGCTGATTTCCTCAGATGTTCGTCTTCTGCAGACCCCCATGTATTTCTTCCTCAGGCACCTTTCTTTGGCAGATGTGGGCTTTGCCTCGGTGACTGTCCCCAAGATGCTACAAAACGTTCTCTTCCAGGTCAGGACTATTTCCTATAGTGGTTGTTTGATGCAAATGTATTTCTACATGACTTTTGCCAACACAGATAACTATCTTTTGGCTGTGATGGCCTACGACCGCTACATGGCCATCTGCCATCCACTACTTTATGCCACACGAATGAGCCACAAGCGCTGCCTCTTGTTTGTGGCAATCTGCTGGCTCCTGGCATCCCTCAATTCTGTGCTGTATACACTGATAATGTCCCCTCTCTCTTTCTGTTCCTCCAAGGAGATCCCCCAGTTCTTCTGTGAGTTCTTCCCTTTGTTACGACTGGCATGCTCAGACACAAGTGTTATAGAAACCATTTCTCTAATTGAGAGCTATACAGATATATTGGGCCCATTTGTCCTCATTATGGTCTCCTATGTCTGCATTTTCTGCACCATTCTTAGAGTCCCGTCCACAAAGGGGAAACAAAAGGCTTTTTCCACATGTGCTTCTCACTTGGGCTTGGTAGCCCTCTTCTATGGCACCCTCTGCTGGGTCTACTTGCAGCCAAACTCCAGGAATCCAGAACAGAACATGATTTCTTCTCTCATGTACACAATGGTGACTCCCATGCTCAACCCATTCATTTACACTCTGAGAAACACAGAGATAAAAGCTGCTCTGAAAAGATTTCTTGGAAGGATAAAAGCCACAGACTTATTTCAATTCTTTCTCTGCTCCTCAAAGTCTGCATTTCTGTGAGAGAGGGAATGGAAATCTCAGCAACTTGAATCATGGCTATGTCCCAATCTAAACGTGTACCAGGGCTATTGTACCAAGAATTACAATTTCATTCATAAACATGGACTGTCCTGTTGCAGAAATCACGTAAAATGTTAAATGCTTGTTTAATGAATACCTATAGAAACAATAAGGAAAACAAAATCTAAGGGGTGATTGTTGGGTGGTTATAGTTAATGGTGCATGATGAACAGCAGTTTATGAGAATTAAAGTGGATTGGTAGAGAGACAACTAGATTTGAAACTTGAAGACGTGAATTGAAAGCACAGCTACGTGATAGGTTGTCATCTCTGGCAAATAGATCCCCATTCCTCATCTTTTGAAAATAAGTGCTTGCACTAATGGAGCATATATAATTGTTATCATATCACTGCCAATCTTTGGTATAATCTGGGCTCAAACTGCAGTGGGATAGGGTTTGTAAACATATTTGCAAGCTGAATAATTGTGAAAAAATATTCTATCTAGAAGTAGATTTTCCTTACTTCAGTATTCAAATATTTATTAGATGACTGGTGGAAATGGGATCTGTTGCAAATGCCACCTCGAACTGTCTTGCTTAGGATCCCAGCCAGCTTGCCAAGCTGATTCCATTCTTCTCGTTCTGTTTTTCCATCCTCCCAATCCATCAGTTAGCAAGCCTCCTATGGCCAGTGAACATGCAGACTATTCCATAGTCCTTTTATGTTTCTCCAAACTTGATGTTGCTCCTGGGCTGCTGATGCTTCCCTATTATCTGTGGGAGTGTTAATGCTTGCTATTTAAAGTTTAAGCAATCAAAAATGAATTTGCTATTAATAGGCACAATTTCTAGTAACTTTCTGTTGGGTGAAAGCTGAAAGATCATCCCATAAAACTATTTCCCCAGACTTAGTCTACAAAACTCTTAAAAACTGGTATTGGTATTAATTTTCTAAGAATTTTACTTTTCCCTTTACAAAAAAATAATGAGAACATTCTTTTATTTGTTCTTTTGTTTGCAAAGCAAGATCATCTGTAAAACATGTCCACTGAACTAACCAAACAGTGTAGAACTCACCATATTTACAAGTAGTAGAATACCGTTGCAAATGATGGCTTTTTGAAAAACTAAAAAAAAATGCAAATAATGCAATAAAATGAATCATACAAATAGATTTTGATTGGTATTGTGAATGGAGATGATTACTTGAATTCCAAGATCTGAAATAGGCAGGGCCACACAGTTTTCCGGTGTTTTTTAAAGAAATGTATTGGTTAATTTTTAAAATGTATTTACTGGTAGAATAATTTGGGATTCTTGGACATGTTGCAGTCACAAGGAAACTGTTCTGAGAGACTGCAACTAGTCTAACTTAATAAAATTGAGATGAAATCCATTAAGGATAGATGAAAGACAAAACTCATCCATCCAAGGAATAATTCATTTATGAGTTTTAATATTACCAGATATATTGATAGCAACAAGCTCTGACAAATTTTCTAATAGAGATGAATGGCATTTTAATATGCTCATTTGGAATGGATATGCTGAAGCCATGGGAGGACTTGGAATACATATGTGTCTTAGACCCTGACTTTAGAATGTTGAGATGCACTTCCTATACATACGTAGACACAAACACACATAAATACACACACACATACAAATACAAGTAAAAATACATATGTGTGAAGAAAATAGTCATGGAGCTATTTTCTTATAAAAACATATGTACAGAAAATGTATTTCCAATAAAACTGTTCTAAAATCTATAATATTTCAAAATACTCAAAATGTGTACATTCAAAGAGCAATCAACAATGCGTCAAAATATGTAGATAAAACTCTTTCTGCTGGGTGATATGGAGTGAGGCTGAATAGGCCTTGTAGTCTGGTGGAAAACAAATGGACAAATTCTAGAATGATTGATTAATGTTCTTACAGAAAGTTCGAGCTTACAAAAAAGTTCAGACATCTCACAGAGGGAAGTGAATATTCCATCAACTCTCTCCCTCAGTGCCTCCAGAAAATCAAAGACCTGAAAACAGAAGAAAATGAAATTATGATTTCATTCAATGTTGCAGAACTCTTTATGTCCATAGATCTGGACCTAGCTAAAGAATCTGTGGTGGTAGTACTACAAAAAACACCCAACCTAACCAAATATACTAAAATACTCAAAATAATGGACCTCATCAGCCTTTCCCCACTACCTAGGTTTAATTTGATGGACAAGCATACCAAGAAATTAGAAGAACAACCATAGGATTACCACTCTCATGACTTACAGCAGAGACTGTAATGCAGCATCTAGAAAGTACAGCATTTCTGCACATAGAACCAAAAGTCCCAATAGCCCAAGAAGAAAAAAACAAGAGACATTTACAGTGTTCAGTGTAAGAACTGCAACAGCCACCATGTAGGACAGACAGACAGAAGATTAGCGGAATGTATGAACATGAATACCAACTAGCAGCTAGAAGACACAATGACAAATTCCTTAATCTCATAACACATGGACTGATTCAACCATAGCTTTAACTCGGAAACTGTGAGCATCCAAAATCCAAAAATGCTAGGGAATTCCTAGAAGCTTGGCGTTCAGACAAATCTGTTATTGATAGACAGACAGGGATAAACCACATTTGTTTTACCACTTAAAATGAGACAATAAGAAGACTAAGAAGGTAACAAATTCAGAAAGCATCAAGGATTCCACATTAAGGACTATATTCAGAGATGTATCATCTATTTTAAAAGGGCAATTTTATCAAATACTCAAAAAATGAGTGTTTTCTTCTGGCACAGATTTTATGGCATTTTTTTTAATGTTAGAGAGTAATTAATCTCCCCTCCTCTCCCTGGTAGATATAGAAATGTGTTTAACATCATGCATGACTGTGAGATGAGTGGCACATAAATTTAATAAAACAAACAAGTAAATTTCATTAATATATGACATATATTGTTTCCCTCTTTTCTGGTGTCAACGCTGCTAACATTGGATGTTCTTGCTTTGACAACATATGGAGATGCAGCCATTTTCCTTCTTATGTTTTACTCTTAGAATTAGAGTTAGAATTAGATGAAACTGGGGGGGGGGAGGAGGAGGAGGAACATACATGGGAGTTAGTTAGACATAACAATATTGTAACTAGTGTGAGAACCAGGGTTTTTTTAAATAAGAGATGAGAAGAAATGGCGGATTGAAGAACTGGAGGGAAAGCCTTCATTTCAAACTAATTGGAGAATGTGATTTATGACTGTTAATTAGAGGAGGGAATTGTGCTTTGATACCATGTGCTCAGGGGAGGGGAATTCAGATTTTGGCTTTTCCTATGTACGTGCCGATGCTATGCTACTCGAATATTCTTTAAGGTAAACAATGCCTCGATGGTCTTTGAAGAGTTTCATCTGTCGGAACCATGACATCGGTTTTTTTAATTTTTTTGCTTTTGGCAGTTTTTTCATGTATTTCCTTCCTTTCTCATATTTGAATAAAATATTTAACTTTACACATACACCCCATCCACCACATACAATTGCGACTCATCACAAAGAAGACTTGGCTCACTGTACTAGTCACATCCTTAACTTTTAGCAGGGATTGTTTTTTCCTCAGTTGGTAGGTCTCTGCCTTGTGCAGTAATTTGCACCTGTAATTCAGGCTTTGAATTATTATGGTCATTACTATTGTTGTTACTGTCTCCCCACCTCAACTTTAAATTTAGAAAGAGAAAAAGGTGCACAAGAACACAGAGCAGGGAGGTGTAGAATTGTCTATGTGGCCAGGCTATTTATTCAGTAATAGTGAGATGAGACTAAAGGTTGAAAATTCAATCCGAGGTAGCGGCAGATGCTTCTCTCTTAGAGCACAATGAAAACAATATCTGCTGTGAACTTCTCATAGGCATCAGAAAGGGCATCTGGCCAGTAAATGTTCAGCTCCACCAAGTCTCCCTGACTCTATCCTGAATTAAGGGACTACAGGATCATAAAAAGAAGAAAAAAAGTGAGATGAGACTAATATGGATGTAGCACAGGCAGTGGAGAAGCACATGCTGCATTGCTTATATGTATCCAGCGTTACAGGGGCATTGTTTCTCTGGGTCAATAATTTTCCTGTATTGGTCTTCAAGGACAGCTGAGGAGAGGCATGACAGTGTGCATGAATAAAAACCCTCCAGTGTTTAGATGTGCCACAGGAGAGTACCTTTTCACTGCCAATAAATCTGGATGAAGTCCTGACTAGATCCAATTGGCTCTCTGTGTCTGCTACATGCTGTTTAATGAGTGCTTTGATCGTACTCTATGCTGAATAGAAGATCTGGAGAGAAGCCCAGGGCTGAGATGTTACTGAAGTTGCAACTGTCTGTTTCCATGTGGATTGAAAAAAAATCATCATTCATAGTTAATGGAGCAAGGCTAAGAGAAAAAAAAGGATAGTCTGAGCCAATAGGTAAGCACGGCCACCCCACTCTAACCTCCACTCTCATGAAGCCTGTTAA